AAATTTAGCCCACATTCTTAACTATAGATATTAACTTCAAGAGAGCCTGCCCACATATCTCTCAGGGCTGTGATGAGATTTTCTAACAAGAAAATAGATATATTTGTGCTAGTGGGGTCTTAATCCCAGCCACATGGAATACGGACTTCAGACTTCTCCTTGTTGTCTTCCCATGTGGCTCCCAAAATACCTGAAATAGAAGCTGCTTCAACAGACCAAAACAGGCCTTTTCAGGTCTGCCCTGGAGTGGAGTCACATGGTAGAAAAAGCCTGAAATTGACAGGCAAGGGACCTGCCTCCTAGAACTGACTCAATTGCTCACTTTTTCTGACATTCGCTCTTCCGGTTTATGGAAACACAGAGTAAGATGAATTCATCTCCAAAGGGCTTTTCAGCTCTGATATTCTGCCAGCTTTTGATTTCCAGCTTCTCAGGTGAATGCTGCAGAAAACAATGTCGACTCTAAAATTAAGTGTCAAACAAGCAAAGAAACAAACAAAACCACACTCTGGACCAGGTGAACATCCTGTTGACTTCTGAGACTCATGGGTCCTTTTCTCTGAAGCTGTAGGGATTTCCAAGACACCTTTTTGGGCAAAGACAATCAGAAGAGTAACATAGTTTACTGCAGCCTTTCCGGCAATGTGTTTTCTTTCTCTTTTTCTTTTCCTTTTTGTGTCTGTAATCACATGCTGCAAAATAGCTGGGGAAATCCTTTGCCCAGAGCTTTGGGATCATTGGATGTTTGAGCTGGGAGGAACCTCAGAAATTCTTATTTCAATTCTCACATTTGGTGGATGGAGAAACACAGTCGGGTGGAGGGAAAAGAGATTGGCTTGAAGATATACAGTAAACTCCTCTGTGATGGGTCAGGATGCCTGGTGGTGACTAGGGGTCCCAGGTCTGCAGAAACAGAGGGCTCTGTGGCTCCAGGACCTGGAGACTCTTGTCTACTCAGTGCACTGCCAGCCACGACATCCAGCACCCGCCTCCAAATCCCCCTCCTTTGCAGAAGACTGCTTTCAATTAGAGGAGTTAACGATGTCTTGCTTTCAAGGGGTTTTTTAAAATCCAGTTTATCTTCCACCCACACACGATGTACAAAAGGCAGGGAGACGGAGGAAGAAGACGGGGAGCAGGGGCTCTGGTGTTGTCTCACACAGGGGACGCGCCATGAGGTTTCTATTGAATGTCGATTTTACAGATTTACATGCCCTTTTGTCAATCATGGGAGGAGGGAAGTGCTCATCAAAGCTCTAGCCCAACCTCTCCAATTTCCTTTTTCCACCCGAAGGGGCCTGTGAGTGAGCCTTACAGAAGAAAACAGAAGAAAAGGAATGGGGAGGAGGAGTGTGGGGATGGATACTGGACAATGACACAATAACGATACCCATAAATGCACAAGTGTGCAACACACACACACAAGCACAGAGCCAGGAAGTGTTTCTCAATATTTTTCTTTAGGCCACATTTTAATCTCAGGCTCGCAGTTCCAATGCCAGATTATTTCCCAAGAATTGCAAGGGTGCAAGAAGGGCAGAAGTTGGTTTCCTGACAGAAACCACCAAGACCCTGAAGGGTCCTGAGGACTGCAGGAGGGAAAGCCTGCTGGGAGACAGCCTGTAAGACTACAGCTGTAAAGGGCTTCAGGGAACCCAGACACAGAATAGCCCAGGTGAAATAAAACCTCCTCCATAAACCAGGCTTTGCTATTTTTTATCATACGGTGTTGCTCCCGCCTCAGTGCTCCCCTGGGAAAGGGCACCAACTCTTAAAGATGGTCTGCCAGATTGGGTGCTGCCTGTGTATTATCTCATTTTACCTTACTAAGAATCTTGTGAAATAAGCAGCATTATCCCCAGTTGAGATATAAGGACTCTAAGGTTTGGGTAGGCATTGGTCAGCCTACCAAGGCTTAGCAGTCAAACCCATGCTCATCTGACCCAGCCTGTTCTCTTCTTACTCCACGGCTTGACCTCCCAATAACTCCTGATGGATACCTTTGGTGTAATACACTTGCATGGTGGTTTCTTGTTTGTCCGTCTGAATCTCCATGTATGAGTTTCAAAGACAGTGCCTATGCCTGACTCTCTCCTTTTCATCAGTGTCTAATGCTGGTTACTGGTCAGGGCTCACCAAATGTCCCCTTTGCTAAACTCATGTGACTTTTCCAAGGCTGTATATGCAGTTCACTGGTGATGCATTTGATCTAGAAGTCCACGTCTACAGAGCCTAGACCAACGTTTAGAGATAATAATAACCGTGTAGTTCAGGAAAGGGACCAGGAGAACCCAGGCTCATTCCCATGTGACATCAGTGCTACCATTCTCTCATCCATTGCACAGGACAGGCACCATTAATTAAATAGTGCATCCCTGAATGTAGGCCTCTAAATCAACAAAACACTATGGGGGGGGAACTGATTGCTCAGAACTGGCCTAGAAGATGAATCCTATTTGCAATTCTTGAACTTGGTCATTGAACTCATTGAGGGAAAGAGTGAGCTCTTGGCTTTTCTATCTTCAGTATTAAGAACAGAGGAAGGTCCAGCTTAGATACTAAGCAAATATTTGTTGACTTGCACTACCCATATTTGTTGAATAAAAGAATGCATAACAACAATAACATATTTCAATGCATATAATGAACAAACGTAACTCAAGTCTTCCAACTTCAGGTTCAGGGCCTCTCTCATTACCTGCAGAGTCCTACAGAGCTCTCCTACCTGGGATCTTCTCTTCATTCCTACTCCCATCCCTGCTTCCTTCTTATGCCTCTAATTCCAAACTGACCCAATGAACACAGAAAACTTTAAGAAAACCGAGGGTTAACAGATACACAACACAATACACCGGAGCGCACGCACGCGCGCGCACACACACACACACACACACATCCAATTCCCTTTTCCAGCCTCCTTTTTACACACTTAATAGCAATGGGAGAAAAAGAGGCAGGAGCCAGGCTTTCTTTTACCGACCATTAGAAACAATTATCACTTTCCCCGGCCTCCAGAGCAGGTTTCCCCTTTGATGCCTGCCTTAAAGAGATAGAGGGGAAGGTGAGGGGTGGTTTGCCTTTCTTTCAATATTAGGATTTATTATTTGGCATAGACAGACAATCAAGTAAAGAAGTATTTCCTGTGTGCAGAACCAGAATGTGAAACAGAGAGATGGCTTCTTCTTCCCTCCCAGAGTTCTAGAAATAATAGCAGATCTCAGGGCCTCCATCCGGGAGACACTTTCTGATAAGGGCATTGGATACCCTCCCGCCTTGGGGCTCAGCTCTGGGCTGATTAGCACCTCACTGCTCCTGGGATCTGTCTCTAACACATTAGGCATTTCACACTCCTTAGGGGTCTAATACACTTCAGGCCTGCACCTCCCCACAAGTCTGAAATCCTGGGATTTAGGGTGCAAATCCCTGTCTGGACATGGAGGAAAAGCTGGGCTTTCAACAGGAAGGGAATACAGAAATCACATAAGACAACATTGCCTACCAGCATACTAACGTTTCTACAGGCAGGGAGACTAAATTTCTTAGAGATGATATGGTTCAGAATCATAGAACCGATTCTTACAGACTACTCATTAAATTGCTTAATTTCACAGACACAGGTTCAGAATTTCTGGGGTCAACAGATGGATGTCTCAACCTTCATAAGGGAAAAGCTTATGTTAGAGACCTAAGAGAGCATTCATGAAAGTGGTGAAGCTAACATATCTTCTTTGCTATCATTTACTGTCCAGCACCTATGTTCCAAGCATAGAAGCCCCACATTTTTGGGAAGCCAGTATTACTATCCTCCTCCTTGTTTGCCTTATAAACAGCCTGGGTCCAGAGGTAATAAACAAGGCACCAAGTCCACACCTGTGAAGATGCTAACACAGACTTCAGCATCCACCAGGAGTTGAGATGGATTTAGAGGCCTACATTCAGGGTGGCACTATTTAACGGTGCCTGTCCTGTGTAGTGGATGAGAGAATGGTAGCACTGATGTCGCATGGGAAGGAGCCCCACCGCCAGGAGTGGATGCTGACGTCTGTGTTACTTCAGGTCTAGCTCCTATTCCCAGTTGATTCTACAGATGAGAAAACTGAGACACGCACAGTGTAAATGTTGATCTTAATGAGGATGGTGACAATAACGGTGAGGATGATAAATATCCAAACGCTTTCACCTCCATGGACACCATCCTTATGTCATTGTGAGGGGGAGATTCATCTCCCACCGCACCCCCTTTGTCAGATAGAGAAAGAAAATTCACAATAGCAGCAGCAGTTCTGATGAAAATAATGACGCTAGCCACTCATTTATATTGTATGAAATGTTAGTTTTCACACCTCTAACCCGTAGGGTTGGCATTATCTCCCCATTCTGCAGACAGTAGAGCCAAGCATTGAGGAGGAGGTGGGCAAGGGGCTTGAGCTCCTCCAGCTGGTAAATCCTCAAACAAGGAAGAGTGATTAGTATCAGATGTGGCGGTCACCTTTTGTGCTGCTGACAACTGCTGCCCTAAAGGCCTGGCCAGGCTCATTTCACATGGGCCCTCCGCAGGCCTGCTCCCTGTTTCCCTGATTATGCCATTCACTAGTCGCCCAGGCCCGCCTATGAACTCCTGACCCAGCAGGGAAAGACTTGGGATCTCATTACTAATCTCTTAAGCCATCTAGTCCTCCAAAATATACCCATTTAAGTTGGAGGCCAAGGCTTTGGGGTGGGAGGTGGGGAGAGGGAAAGTCTGGCACAGAGACTTATTGTGACATGGCCATTTCCCCTTTTGGGAGATTGCAGCCTGCGCCACAGGGCAGCTGGCATGACTGTCCGGCTCAGCCCAGGGCAGGCCCTGCTGAAGGTCAGTAGCTAGGCCTCAACAGTAGGAGGCCCTTGGACAGGAAGGGGAAGGACATTTGGGCCCACCTGTTTGTAATTTCAGGGGTGCGGGTGGGGGAATGAGGCCTGTGTTTGTTTTAATTATTATTATTGTTGTTGAAAAGGGAGGAAAAAAATTAGCAGAAACTGCTAACATCTGGAGGCTGCCTCCAGTTTACGTAATCTGCAGCAGAGGAGGAACATGGGATCCCCAGCCAGATGGTCCGTGGGTGACTTTACAGCACATGAGCTACCTCCAAGAGTAAGATGCTGACGGGGTTAAAAGAGTGGGATGCAAAACCTTCCCGATATTCTTACAAGGTGAGAGGTGGTGGTTTGGGTGCTCCCAGGGATCTCTTTTCTTTTGAAAGAATCACTTTTTTTTTTTTTTGGTCCAGCCTAGGCTCAAATGTTTCTATGTCTCTCTCATTCAGTCATTCACTCATTCAACAAACATTTATTTAGCACTGATTTATGTGTTAGGTTTTTCATTCCCATGGTCTGCATGAAGAAAATGGACCCCAGAAAAACAAAAGCAATAAAGAGAAAAATTCCTTCTCCTAAAAGCTCCCAAACCCATGGGGATGGGAGGTAAAAAATGAAGCAGACAAACACTCTTAGAGAAATGTGGTAGGTTCTGTGTTCAAGCGCTGTGCTGGCTGAGAGAGGGGCTTGGAGAAGGAAACTGCTGAGTCAATCTATGCCTGAAGGCTGGATCTGAAATGCAAAGTCTTAATATCAAATGGACTCTGGAGAGCAGGAACTGGAAGGAAAAAAAGGCCCGAGAAGCAGAAAAATTGGCCACAGCTAAGCTAGGACAAACCCAGTTTCCCAAATGATGTCAGCAGCACAGGTGTGAAGAATACGTTTGAGATGCTGAATATTGCTGTGAACACAGTTCTGAGCACATTATTAAAAAACAAAATACCTTGCAAACTTTCTGTATCTTAAACTTTATTTTTGCATTTGTACTGAAAGAAATTAATGAAATGTTATGAATTCTAGATCACAATATAAAACCAGTGTAGACTCTGGATCAGATCAAGAGAACACTGTTAAGTTCAGTTAGGAGAAACACTCAACTCTAGACAGGAACACAGAGCCACTGCCAGCAGCAGAAAATTCTGAGGTATCTCCAGCTCCAGGAAAGAATCTGGAAAAATCATGAATTTTATTTCAGAGCCCAGAGGCATTGTCAGTTCTAGAACAGTATGCTGAGTACGGAAACACTTCCAAGTTCTGGACCAGAATATGCAAACACCATAATTATAGAACAGGGCCAGGTAATGCCTTCTGCTCCACAGCTCCAAACCTGAAACTGACTGAGACAGAGACACTGAAGATGAAAAACACAAATCTACTTAGCTTTAATCCAAATACTTTCTCTGCTGGCTCTAGAGTGAAATTCAGAAACACAGCCAACCCAGGAGTAAAGCACTGAAACATGGAAAGCTCCACCACTCAGCTCAGAGCTATTAAGACTAAAGGGGGGTCTTAGGAAGATTCTCCATCTCTTCTTGTCCTTTCTTTGGGAGCCCCTGGGCATTTATGGGTTAATCAGGAAAGCGATGACCATATCCAAGTTTGGTGCCTGGTCACCGAAACCTTTGGTTACAAATAGTTGAACAGTGGTTAATGGCAGTCTTGACCACATTGACCTATTCAAGAAAGGTCAGAGGAGTGATTTTTTTTTACTTGAAAACATCTGTCTTGAAAGAACAAGACTTTCTCAAATTCATAAAACTAGAAGTTTCCACGTTGTTGTTTTGTTTCCTCCCTTCTTCCCCCTTTCTTCTATTATTCAGCTTTCCAAATTAAGATCTGTGTGTTCCAAATTGTGTTGGAAACGAAGTACAAGTCATATTACCTGCAGGGAACCCCACTAGATGCCAAGATGTTCAGCAGAGTGCTTTGTCTCTGCATCCCACTCCTCGCTACAGACCTCAGGGTCCTCCCATCCCTTCCTATAGCCTCAGTAGGAAGGGCTGGGAATCACTGCATGATTTGGTCTCTTCTTTTTGCTTTTGAAGAGGAGGTAGTACAATTGTCTAGGTTACTTCGAGCTTGATTTTTCCTAAGAAGAGGATCCAAAGGATGCAATGCAGTGACGTGTGCAAGGAACAGGCAGACAGCAGTCACTTATCCTTTTAACAGCGTCCTGAAGACCTTCCAATTCAAACAAGAAGTCCCATTTTTAAAGACAAAAAGTGGCATTTCTCCCTGGCCTGGCCCTCCAGATTTCAGAGGTAGAAATGGTGACTGTGATATACAAAGTGGGGAGCTTTGTCCACCGCAAGTGCAATGGACATGGTTGACCTATGTGTCCGCCACTCCATCAGCAGAGTTCTCTGAGGAACAAGGACCTTCCAGAGTGATGCTTTCCCCTAGGGGCAGCCTTGGCCAGGGCAACACACATCTGCACAAAAGCAGGGTGTTGAAGCAGCTGTTCTGAGATGCCGTGCCTGGGAATCTGGGATCCACAATGTGAACTTCTCAACAACCTCTGCACCTGCCACTTGCCTGAATCTTCCACTGAGCACCAGAAGACACACACATTGTAAATCAAAGGAATGTGAGTTGGAATTTCAGCTTCTGCCATTCACTGAAAACATGGCCTTGAACCCTTCATACAATCAAATGTTTTCCACTGCAGAATGAGACGATGGTACCTATGTTTGGGGATTACGAGGATTAAAAGAGCTCTTGCATATGCAAATATTTAGATACACCCTACACACTAAAAGTACAAAATTGACATTTTTCTCCTTCATCACATGCTTCTTCTTTCTTCCTGGCTGTAGGGGGACATGGTTCTGGGTTCAAATTCTAGACTTCCCTGTTCTACCACTGGGCCACCTGTAGAACCTGGGTAAGTGACCTAACCTTTGTGGGTCTTAATTTACTCCTCTCTAAATCAGTGAAAATTACAGTAGTTACCTCATAGAATGTTTAACAGGTTTAAATGTACAAAAACAGCGTAGGGTTCCCTACAGAGTGTAATCACCCTGATAGCCAAGACATTTGGCTGCTCATTATTATCTACTCATCATGATCAATTTCTGTGATTACTCTTATGATTATTACTGACGTTTGCTATCATTGTGTAGTCTTTCCTTTTCCTCTCTTACGTCTGTATTCCTTCGTCTCTTTTATCTCCACCTCTTATTCCTCCCCTCTTTCTTCCTCTTACTCCTTCACACCCTCCTGTGCTGGGCCTTGTATTGGGAGATCTCCCTGAAGGTGAACCACATTCTCAAGCCAGAAACGAAGCCCTTTAGGTTTGCATTCATCTCTGTAGGAAGCCAATCACAGGAAAATTGCTTCGACCCCAGTCTTTCCTGCAATAACAAGAGGCAAAGGGTAGAGCTTCTATCCTGGGGCTCAGCCTCCAGAAGTTGTTTCCTACTTTTTGCCCAAAGCTGTTAGCGGAGCAACAACAACAACAAAGATGTATTTATCAGTATTTGTCATGAAACTCTCTATGCCAGGCCCTGTTTTTGATGCTGGAACACACAGCAGTAAGCACACCAAAACAGTTACAGAAAAACCCTTCTCGTTGTGCAGTGAACATTCCCGGAGTGGGGATGGATTATGGAGGCACAGAGCAGCAGAAAGAACATGAGATTTGGGTTCAGGATGGGTTTCAGGTTCAGGATGTGAATTTCCTCCCCCAATTCACACAGTAGCACGTATCTCCTTTGTAATGTGAAGGGAGGAAGCAGGGGATTTCAGAAGGCCCTGCCTGCTTTCACCGCTTATGGTACTAGCAGGAGGCTGTAACCTGGAAACAGAGGGAATCACTTGTAGACACTGATTTATATGTTTAATAATTATATATTTAATCCAATCATAAAGGAGGTATCACCCAGCAGATACTGTTCCCAGAAGCTTAATAAATTCCCAACATCACTTAATACATTCATCAACATTTTCTGAGTGTTATCCACACAGCAGACCCTGTGCTGGGCACAGGAAATACCTAAAGGCATAAGATGAGGGCCAAATCCTTAGCTGCTCACCGGTCATTTGGTATGAAAAGCTGTAGACACAAGCAATGCACACTGAAAGTCAGCTTGTGCTCAGGCCTGTCTGATAATTCCATTAGTATTCTGTACATAGATGAGGAAGGCTGCTCATAGGTTGAGGTTGTCAGGAGAGGGATATGTAAGAGAAGCCACTTGAGCTGAACCCTGTAGGATAGTTAGGCCCTAACAAGGTAGAGGAGCAAATGATGGCATTTCCAGTCAGGAGAAAAGGAAACCCCAAGACATACCTGGAAATTGCAATTGGCCCTTACTGCCTGGAATGTGCCTCTTAGGCCATGGACTGTAAAGCAAAGGTAGAGATTGTGCATGGACTTGCCTGCTAAGGCTTTTGGATTTTATAGGCCATGGGGAACAAAATAGAAAGCTTCACAGGTGAGAAATCACTGGGACCAATATTTCTTGTGAATTACAGAGAATATGTTCCAAAAGCAAAATTCCTCCAGTAAGAATTTATGCAGACTTAAAAGATTTAAGACATTGAATTACAAAAAGATGAGTATGTCATATCTCACTCTGGGAAAGAGAACTGTCACTTAAAAAATTCCCAGAGAGGCCAGGCATGGTGGCTCATGCCTGTAATCCCAGCACTTTGGGAGGCCAACATGGGCAGATCACGAGGTCAGGAGATGGAGACCATCCTGACCAACACGGTGAAACCTCGTCTCTACTAAAAATACAAAAATTAGCTGGGTGTGGTGGCGTGTGCCTGTAATCCCTGCTACTCAGGAGGCTGAGGCAGAATCGCTTGAACCTAGGAGGCGGAGATTGCAGTGAGCCAGGCTGGTGACAGAGTGAGACAGACAAAAGAAAGAAAAGAAGGAAGGAAGGAAGGAAGGAAGGGAGGGAGGGAGGGAGGGAGGGAGGGAGGGAGGGAGGGAGGAAGAAAGAAAGAAAGGAGGCAGGGAGGGAGGGAAGAAGAGAGGGAGGGAGGGAGGGAAGAAGAGAGGGAGGGAGGGAGGGAGGGAAGGAAGGAAGATAAATAAACCTCTGGAGAGACGGCATTGTCATATGGTGTAGTGAAAAATACATGGGCTTTGGTGCCAGAAAGAACTGGATATACTCCTGTTTTGGAATTTAGAGTAGGGGCCCTTTGTAAATATTTGTTTCCTTGTCTATGAAATGGACACACAGTTCCCACCATACAGGTTGGTTATAAAGATTTGATGCAATGATGGGAACTGAATTAATTTAGGTGGTACTTACACTATTCCAAGCACTGTCCTAAGTGCTTTAAGTGCTCTATCTCATGAAATTCTCAGGATCTCCCCTTAATTATTTAATTTCACAGGTGAGAAGACCACAGAGGCTAATTAATTTGCTCAAGATATCAATGCAAGTAGCAGCCTTCTCTCCCTCCATCTCTCCCTCCCTAGATGTACTCTAGACCTGCTCTGTCCAACAGGGGAGTCTAATGCCTACATAATAGACCATTTAAATTTAGTGAATTAAAATTAAACCAATTAAGTAGTGCCTCAGTTTCATGAGCCACATTCCTAGGGCTCAATATCATAGGTGGCTAGATATGAACAGGACACTCATATGAAGAACACTTTCATCATCATGGAAGGCTCTATTGGACAGGTAGTCCAGAGTCTGGCCTGTGAACACTGAGACAATTTTGCCCTCTCTGAAACATAAACTCCTGACTATAGCTCCTTGATGCACGCCAGTTTAATCTCCTCCTTCCCATTGCATTAAATTGATATTCTCTTCCTGGAACGCTTGCCACCAGTCAGCTGCACTGCAGACATGGACATCACCCAGGTGGCATCTGCATTTCTGAAGGCAGCATCTTGCCAGGAGACAAGATCTCTTCCAAACCTGTCACTTCCCTAGGGGTCTCTCTTCCAGGAAGGAGAGAAAGGCAGATATCACCTAAGTGTCCCTTCCACCAGCTGCACACATGTGTCATGTTTGGAAAAGGATTCTGGGGTGGGCAGGAGCCCAAAGGAAAACTTTCTTGGACACATGGCACAGGGAACCTCTCAACAGGGACATCTCTCATGGGCCTCTCTGGGCCCATTTCTCTCTAAAAACCAAAGATGTACAAATGCACCCAGGATATCCTGGTGCTTGGGTCTGGCTGAAGAATTAGGCAGAGTTTAAGAAAACCATGGTTGGAGTTTCTTAAGTGGAGGCAGAGGCCCTTCCTGGTCTCATTCTACAGGTAACATACCCAGGTTAATTTATCAAAGTAAGGATGGGGAGGAATAGAGAGTAGGGAAGAGGGGGCTTGAAAGACAAACAAAATCAAATGAACCCACACACAAATAAAAACAAGATCTTGTGCACAGCCAAACTCTAACTCCCCTTGAAACCCCAATCTTTGGGGCTGGCTTGAGAAAGTTTACTTTCAGTCTTAGAGAAATGAGTATGTGGTTTTAGGGACAGAATTCAATACCGCCAAAGCAGCAGGCTCAGCAAGCTTGACCGGCTATTGCTTCCTAAGTGCATTACAGCCCAGGAGGGTGAATGCTGTTTACATTTTTTACATGTTTCTTGGGTACAGAACATGAAACTAAATTACACAGCAGAGGCCATGCTGGCTAAATGCCGGTGACCCCACTTAAAGCAAAACAATAACAACAACAAAAAAAAAAGAAAATGAAAGACAAGACAGAGAAGGGTTTCAAGGGAGCCTGAGCAAATGACAGGGATAAAAGAAAGGTTTGTTGCCCTGATGCCAAGACTAAGAAAAGAGGAAGTGGAAAATGAAGGCAATGAGATGGGGTAGGCCAGGATTGGAAGAAAAAGGAAGACAGAGGCCAAGGAATCTTCCTAGGTGGGCCATGGAAAGGGCTGGCAGGGTTATGTCTGGTCTCCATGGAGAATCAGTGGAAGTAGCCCCAAACCACAAAACCTTGCTTATTCTTGGGCTTCAAGTCAAGAGTCAAGTGTCAATTGAGACATGGATACTCACTATTCAAACCAGGCTCTCAACGTTGCACGTGGCACCTTCCCTGATCGATCAATACATGTTTGTTGTATGCCTGCAAATGCCAGGCTCATCCCTTCATTCCTTTCCTCTCGTACACATTTTTGTTCCTTCTCCAGATTCAATTTGTTCAGGGATAACATGGTTTAGAAGGGATGTGAATTGACATGAATTGGTTGCCCAGCAAGATGTAGTGACGTACTGTACACTTTATACACGTTAGCTCATTGGATCCTCATACCATCTCACAGAATGACAACAGGATCATGTGAAGATGAGGATAATTGAGGCTCAGAAAACTGAAGTCATTTGTGAGACGTTAGACAGCTGGTACTCAAGTCAGATAGACAGTGCTCAAGTTGGGTCTTTCTGACTTTAAAGCTTATGCTTCCTCTGTGAAACAATATGGCTACACTACAATGTTTTTTTCAGCTTCCCCCAAATGCCCAAGTGGAAAGAAAAATCACTTTCTAGATAACTTGTCACTTTATTCAGGTTCGACCTTCCTCCTCAAAGGTTAACTTCTAAGGCTAACTCCATTTGTCCTTGTGTCACAGTACTTTGCCCAGCTTTGTCTTTTTTTATTGGAAGAAGCTATTTTAGTGTCTTTCTTCCTCCATGACACATAACGTACTGCCTGAGACCAGTGGCTGCTTTGTTCAACCCCACATTGAAAATGATCCTTTGGACACAGAAGATTCACAAGATTTTGTTGATTTTGAATATACATATCAGAATCATTTTATAACGGATGGGATTGAGAGGTTCAGGGAAGTTATTTAAGCAAAGTCAAGTCTTAATTAAGTGAAGTAAGAGCAAGAGACTCTCAAAGTTGCTCTCTGCTTAAATTTCTATGCCCCAAAGTCTACTGTGTTAGACAGAAAGTCCACATGTTGTTCCTAATTGGATTTGTTCCTCGGTTGCCAAAACTTCACAGGCAGACAGAAGTGTTTCTTTAAAACTTTGTTGGTTGCTACCAGAAGGAAAACTGCATTTCTAGATCAACTCTCTCATCCTTGACAGACACCTGCCACGGAGATGTTTTTACTCCGATTTTACAGATGAAAAATTGGGGCGGGGGCAAAGACAACTGACTTGCTCAAAGTCTCACTGCTAGTAAGCAAGTGGTGGACTCTAGAACTGAAAATCAGGCTGATCTGATGCCAGATCTCATTTTTTATAAAGCTCCCGTCACTCAGAGTCTTTCAGTCCAAATCCTAGGGCCAATCAGAGTGTCTAGATTTTTGTAGATTTGAACAGATATTGAAAGAGTAAACGAGCAAAGGATGAATAGAAGAGATAGCTAGGAGCAGAATCGAATAGATCTCTTTGCTGGGAGCCCATAAGATTCAGTAAATTTAAAGTCTCCCACAGTCCAAGGTTTCCATGACAAGTTTTGAGGTGATTATAGTGACCAATTCAGTGGGCTCCTTTCTGAGGCAGGCTCTGATTTTTACTTTCCTGGAGGGATTTTTGGGTGCCTCACACCCTGCGACAGGCTGAACTAGACTGTGGTACTTTCTGTTCTGTCTCCTTACATGACTTGCACACATGCTCTTGAAAAAATTATGCAGAAACCACCAGGAGAAACAGATCCCTTGAGTATTTGGGAAAACTGCTTGGAATTGTCTCTGAAATTTCAGCATGTTCCCTTCGCCTTTCCTCCTTCCACCACCATTGGCAAAGGCTCTCTCATTTCACTAATGAGAAGAGACGAGTGCTTTGGTGAAGGCCATAGCAGGCAAGGCAGGCAAGGAAGGGACAGACAGCTCCTTAGAAGTGACTTCAGCACTGGGTATAAAGTACAGGATTTCTTCCTACTCTTTGCAAATGGTACTATCTAAATCGCATTGTAGAATTGTTTATCAATGCAGAATTTCCAAGTGAGGCTGTTTTAATGCAACACCAGTAGCCTGGTGTAAGGAAAGAAAGTAGAAGAAAGAGTACCACGGGTGGGGTGGTTCATCTCCCCGAGACTCAGTTTCTTCATTTTGAGAGAGGAATATTAAGAATTCTCAGCAGGGTTCTTCTGAGATATATGTGAAATAATACAAGGGCTGGCATGTAAGAAGTGTTCCACAGTCGACAATCTTCTTCTTTCAATGATCCAACCATGTTAACCCCCTGTTGAAAAACTCAAAAAAGCTCCCCATTGCCCTCAGCATCATGTCAAGTTCCAAGCATTTGAATGATTTTCCTAACCATGTTTCCTAGCTCATCTCTCTTGATTTCCCCTTCGTTTCTTTTTGACCATTTTTTGATATGACCCTCGCAGCCCCCACCATGCGATTCCTTCCTCCCCTCTCCTGTCCTCCAGCTTACCATTTTAGTTGAAGCTCAGCAATCATTTCTCCCTTACCTCCTCTGGATTCGCCACTATGAGCACTTCCTACACTGCATACCGTAGAATACCCTAGTGGGTATCTAGACCCTTTTCTGGAGACAAGGATGAAGAAGACACAGATGAATGGCTTCTCCTCTCCTGCTTCTGATGGCAGTCATCAGAAAATATGAACATCTGGCTGGGCACAGTGGCTCATGCCTGTAATCCTAGGACTTTGGGAGGCTAAGGAAGACGGATCACTTGAGGTTAGAAGTTCGAGACCGGCCTGACCAACATGGTAAAACCCCATTTCTACTAAAAATATAAAGACTAGCTGGGTGTGGTGGCATATGCTTGTAATGCCAGCTACTTGGGAGGCTGAGGCAGGAGGATCGCTTGAACCCAGGAGGTGGAGGCTGTAGTGAGCTTAGATTGTGCCAGTGCACTCCAGCCAGAATGACAGAGTGAGACTTTGCCTCAAAAGAAAGAAAATGAGCACATCTTAAGATTCTCTTTCACTGACATTTTAAGGTTTCCTATGTATAGCACATAGCTGGTGACAAAACTGTAAATTGAGCAAAATTTCTTCCTCCTATTTGTGCATTTATTACTTTTTTCTCCCCATGCCCCTGCTATAATTAGGCAGACATTCCAAGATCGCTTTTATAAGAAGGGTTGGCAACTTAAAACACTTATGCTTCTCTCTTATTTCCATACGCACATCTTAGAAAACTCTCTGGAAAGGGCAGTGGGTGAAAGAATGGATGCCAAAAGCTGGAGATCTAAACAGTGTGCAAAAATTGTAGGGAAGAAATCTGGGTATTGGAGAGAGGGAACACCCACTTTCACGGTGTTCTTAAATGCATACCACATATTAAAAGATGCAAAAGACACTAGCTCTTCTAGCTTGTCCTCATGTGTCAGTCAGTGAAGCAGGCTTGAGCTGCCTGGTCCTGTAGCTGTGTTTCTATTATGAACACAGTGGCCTGCATCTTGGTTCTGCCTCTTACAGGAATAAGCCTGAAGCAAGTTACTCTGCTCTCTGAGTCTTTGTGTCCTAATCTGTAAAGTTAGAACAGTGATTCCTATTTCTGTAGTAGCTTTAGTAGGATTCAAGAAATTTGGTGGAAAGCCTGGAAGGACTCGATAAATGCTATTTTTATAAACTGTCTAGGATCTTCCAAAAGTGGGCAAAGGACTTTCCTATCCTACAAACTTGCTCTCATCCCTACTGGCTGAGTAAGCTGATTGCAGTGTGGTTTCTTCCTCGGGGAAACTCCCTCTAGATCTTAAACTCTTGGGTCTTTGGCTACTATTTCTAGTGGAAACACCCTTCTGATGACGTGGTAAGCTTTATGAAGGCAGTAAAAGAACCAGTACTTCTTTGAAGTTTCTCAAAGTGCCTGCTGCAGTTCAGAGTATGCATTTGCTGACGCAACTATGTTTAATTCAACAAAATGTTGACTGAGCTTCTGTTCTGTGTGGGTCCCTACAGCCAGCTTTGGGGGAATGCATAAAAGGAAACCTAACATAAACAAGACAGGGAATTAACATTTGTACTACCCATCAACTGAACAAACCCAGCACAGAGTGTTTTCTCTGCCTCCTTCATTTCTACCGGGTAGATATTATCTACCTTAATTTCCATGAGGTACGTGTTATTCTCATTATCTACGGGACTCTAAGATTCCCAGAGGAGTAACTTACTCAAGATTTTCCATGTCAGAACAGAA